AGCAGTTTACCTCGCCGCCACCAACCACAGTTTACCCGCCAACCAACCATCCTCGCCAATCCTAACCATTATCCACTCTCACCACCAACCAACCTTTCCACCCACCAACCCTACTCTCGCCCACAACCCCAATCTAACACACAATTCCACCCTCCACCAATCCTACCCACCACCCACATCCAACCCTTCTTACCAACTAACCCATTAGTCCACTCTCTCACCCACCAAACCTCTCCACCAACCCACCAGTCCAACCCTCCCACCCAACCAACCCTCACCAACCCACCAACCACCAGTCCAACCTCCTACCAACCTACCTCTCACCCCCCCTCTCCACCAAACCTCCCCAACCTCTCCCAACCCTCTCACCCACCAACCCACCAACCCTCACCCACCAACCACCAACGCCACTTCCGCACCGCCCGGCTCGCTCTCTCGCGCCAAGGAAATGATTCATAACGGAGCAACGCAAGAGGCACTCGGGTGACGCTCGGCACCGCGGCTCCGAGTGGGGGGGAGGGGAGGTGGGGGAGGGAAGGGGAGGGTTGGTGGGCGGGAAGGGATGGGGGGAGAGGGAGGGGGAGGGGAGGGGAGGGAGGGGAGAGGGGAGGGGAGGTGGGAGGTAGGGGAGGGGGGAGGGTTGGTGGTGGGGGTGGGGTCACAGGTGGTGGTGGTGGGAGGTGGTGGTGGTGTTGGGACAGGAGGGAGGGGGGGGGTCGCCGGTGGTGGATGGTGGTGTTGTTGGGGTGGGGTCACTGGTGGTGGTGGTGGGGGTGTTGGTTGTTTTGTTGTTGGTGGTGGTTGTTGGTGGTGATGTTGGTGGTGATGATGGTGTTGTTGGTGGTGGTGGTGTTGGCGATAGTGGTGTTGGTGTTGGCGGTAGTTCGAGTAATGGTGTTGTTACTAACGATGTGCTGGTCGTGTTGTTGTTCCTATCGTTGGCGGTGATGAGATAGTGGTATTGATGTTGTCATGATAAAATCTGTGATGCTGCTGTGCTGTTGTTGTGATGATGATGGTGTCTTTGATGTCGCTTTGATGTTGTTGTTCTGTGATGATGATGTGTGGATGATGATGATGATGATGATGATGATGATGATGATGATTGATGAATGATGATCTTTGATGTCGCTTTGATGTTGTTGTTCTTGGTGATGATGATGGTGGTGTGATGATATGATGATGATGGTGATTTGATGTCGCTTGATGTTGTTGTTCTTGTGATGATGGTAATGATGATGATGATGATGATGATGATGATGATGATTGATGATTGATATGATGATGATGATGATGATAATGATGATGTTGTTGTTGCTTATTTGTTACTGTTTTGTATTATTCTAATTCGTACAAAAAGAAAAAAGCTTATACGAGACGAAAGAAGAATGGAAGAAGTAGAAAAACCGATGACGAAAAAGAGAACGAAAATGGGAGGAAGAAATACGGAAAAAAGAGAAGAAAACGGGAGAATAAAAAAAATGAAAAAATGGAAAATGAAACTGGGAACATTTTGAAAAAAAAAGAAAACGAAGGAAATAAATAGACGGATAAACTAAGGATACAGGAGAAAACAGAGAACGAAGGAATACAAGATAAAAAAAAAATAAATAAACCAGCGAATATAGAATATAAAAACAAACAAACAAAAACAAAGAAAAACGCAAACATAAGTAAAAAGAAAACAAACAAAGAAAAACGCAAAAACAAAAATAAAAAACGAAAAACAAAACAAAGAAAAACGAAAAAAACAAACGCCAAAAAAACGAAAACAAAAAAAAAGAAAATCGCAAAAAACAAAGAAACAAAAATAAGTAAACAAAGAAAAATATAAGAACCGGCAGACAAGGGGAACTTATGTTGATGAAAAAATATCCATTGTGAAGGTCTCAGCGAGGGGAAAGGAAGACACGCGAAAGGAGGAATAGAGAAGGAGAAGAAAAGGGGAAATAAGGAAAAGAAGAGAAGAAAGGAGGAATAAGGGAAAAGAAGAGAAGAAAGGAGGAATAAGGGAAAAGAAGAGGAGAAGGAAAGGGAAAATAAGAGAAAAGAGAAAATAAGAAAAGAGGAAATGAAGGAAAAGAAAAAAATAAGAAAAGGGGGAATAAGGGAGAAGAAGAGAAGAGAAGAAAAGGGGAAATATGGGAAAAGAGAAGAGGCGAGAGAAGGAAAAAAAGGAACAAAAAGGAAGAGAAAAGAAAAGAAAAGATAGAAAAAACGAAAAATGTAAATACGAGAAAGAAGAAAAAAAAAGAAACAAAGAAAAGAGAAGAGAAGGGAAGGGAAGTAAAGGGAGTAGAAGAAATGAGAAGAGACAAAGAATATGAGATAAGAAGGGAAGAGAAGAAATGAGAAGAACAAGAGAAGAGAAAATAAATAAAGATAAAAAAAACGAAACAAGACGACTAAGAAAAGAGAAAACGAAAAAAAGGTAAGAGAAAGAGAAAAGCAATCGAGGAAGAAGAAGAGAAAACAGAGAAAAAGAAGAGAGGAAGAGAAAGAAGATAAAGCAGAATAATGAAAAAACAACAAAAAAACCCAAACAAAATCGAACCGATAAAAGAAAGAAACCAAAACTTAAAAAAACAACAAACAAACAAAAAAAAAACGAAAATCATCGAAATAATTCATAAAAGAAATAATTTAAAAATAATTCCATAAATATGAAGAATCCACGACTTCAGGGAGAGTAAAAGCCAGGCGCAAGGAGGGAGTGCCAGGGCGAGGCCAGCTAAGGGTGGGCGAGGGTGCCACTCTACAGGGAGGGCGTCACACTACTAAAAAAAGGAAAAAAAAGAAGAAAAAGAAGAAGAAAAACACCACTAAAAAGATAAATAAATAAATAAAAATAATAACACTACAGGGAGGGCGTCATACTACTAAAAAGTACAAGAAAGAAGAAGAAGAAGAAGAAGAAGGAGAAGAAGGAGAAGAAGAAAATAACTACTAAAAGAGAAAAATACTACAAACAAAAAACAAAAAAATACAGGGTGGGCGTCACTACTAAAAAAAAAAAAAAAAAAAAAAAAAAAAAGATCTGTCAGGTATATCAGTCATCTTGGGTCCTCAACGTGATGGTTATCCCATGTCTGTGGGATAACTTTGTGATGGTTCTGGCAGGTTGGGTTGTCTCTCGTTGTTCCTGGATGTCTCGAACACTCTATTCAATTATCTGTGTATTTATATTTATTATCTTCTATTGGTTGACACTTTTGGTTTCTCGTGTTGGGTGAATTCTTTTTTAAATATATTATTTTCTTGTTATATAGATCTTTCTTTTTTTTTCTTGGTATGTTTCTGTTTTTCTTCACTCAAAATTTTGGTATTTCACTTTGGCAGCGCACTGTAATTCTCTGCTTCGCTCTCCTTGGAACACGGACACTTCGCCGCCTTACGCACCGAGGAAATATTCACCACAAAAAAAAAGATGTACAGAAAAACAACAATATCAACACTACCATCACTCGTAAATTCCTGTCAGAGAGACAAGAGACACACACATACACACTGGCGCGCGGTTCTCCAGAAAAATGGAGCTGCACAAGTCCGCCGCAATTCACAGCGTCCCGTCACTGTAACAGGGCGAGTCCACCAAGGCCACGGAAAGCTGGCACTGGCACAGTCAGGGCACTACGGAGAGCCAGGCACCCTCGCGTGACGACCGACCACTTTGGTGTTCCCGCCGAGATAATATTGGCACCCTCTCGTGGCCCGGGCCGGTACGACGCTTTGGGCCGCGGCGCCCGGCAGCGCTTCGGTTTGAGGGGAGCCTGCTTAATGAATTGTCCCTTTTATTGGCTGGCTGGCGAGGCCGCTCGTGGCGCCGCTCTCCCTCGCCCTCGAGAGTCGCGGCCGCTCTTGAAATTTGCTCGAGAGAGGAGCAAGGCTTGAAGGATGATGAGGATACGCTCGCCACTCGAATTATCATCAGGCTCTCGAATAGCGCTGAACAAATACCAGTCCTTTAGCCAAATTAACCTCGTTATAAAAAAAAACATAAACAATCCTAACAACTTCACTCCTAAAAATCAAACCTCACAACTTAAAAAAAAAAAGGCAAAACGAATCCCAAATTAGAAAAAGAAATCCCTAAAGAAAGAAGAAGAGAAGAAGAAAAATTCAACATCCCCGTCCGGCAGCGAGGCGATAGCGGTGCCTTGCCAGAGGTGCCAGAGGTCGCCATATTCCATCACTCCCGCCTCTTTTTTTTCGTCGCTGCATTAGAGGTTTGTTTGGATGCGGGATGGAAGGGGTTGCAAGCTTCATCTCTTAATCAATACCGGCAACTTGCAATAGAGGACTTCTTGATCAGAGCGGGGTCAGGGAAGGGAGAGAGAGAGAAAGGGGGAGGGGGAGAAAGGGAGGGAAGAGGAGAGAGAGGGGAGGGAGGGAGGGAGGGAGGGAGGGAGGGAGGGAGAGAGAGAGAGAGAGAGAGAGAGAGAGAGAGAGAGAGAGAGAGAGAGAGAGAGAGAGAGAGAGAGAGAGAGAGAGAGAGAGAGAGAGAGAGAGAGAGAGAGAGAGAGAAGGAAAGGAAGGAGAGAGAGAGGAAGGAGGGTTGGTGAAGGAGGGGACAGGGATAAAGGGGAGAGGAGAAGAGCAGGATAATGGGGGAGGGTGACAGAGGGGGGGAGAAGATAAAGGATAAAGAAGAGAAGAACAATGAAAGAAGACGTGGAGGAGGAAGGAGAGAATGAGATAAAAGAGAGAGCAGCGTTGACATGATGTGGCTGGGATACATTTTTCTTTATAAATAAATAAATATATATATATTTCTATACATCCATACTCACGTACATCTGCGCGTGCGTGTGTGTGTGAGATTATTGCAACAATAGAAACAGGAATAACATAAAGATTTACCACCCTTGGTTTACGTGTAAATGAAAAAATAAAATATGGCAAGAGAGCAAGATTAATACTATACAAGAAATGAACCACGACTTTGATAAACTACGGATAATGTACAAAAAAAAGAAGAAATAAACAACAGACGTCACTGGTCCCTTCTCTCCAATCTTCACCTTATTCCTCACTTTTATCCCTCCCTCTTCTTTCTGATTTTTTGTTTAACATCTCTTCGTGTCACCTTGCTATTACTCATCCCCCTCTTTCTTTCTTTCTTCTCTCTCTCTTTTCTTTTTTTCTTCTCTCTCTCTCTCTTTTTCTTTATCTTTCTTTCTTCTTTCTTTCTCTTTCTTTTTTTTTTTTCTCTCTCTCCATTTCACCGTCTTTGTGTAAGTCCTTTCTTTCCCTCTTCTTATTCTCTCTCCCTCTGTCTCCTCCTCCTTCTTCTTATACTTGTATTTCTCCCTCTCTCTCCCCCTTCATTACTATCATCCTATCATCACATTCTTGTTCATCATCATTATCTTTTAAGCAAAGTTACTACCCCTCTCCCTCTCCCTCGTCATCTTTGTCCCTTCTCTCTCTCTCCCTCTTCCTCTTCATCCTCTCTTTGTCTCTCCCCTTCGTTTAAGCCCCTTTCTCTATTCCGCTCCCTCCTCCCTCGTGATCTCCCTTCCCCTCTCTCTCCATTTTCCTCTCATTTCCTCTTCATCATCATAATTATTAAACGTGTGTCTTTGTTTCTCTCCCCCTCTTCATCATCATCATCGTTATTTTGCTAACTTCTCCACTCTCTTCCTCTCCCCTTTCTCTCTTTTCCTCTTCCCCCTTTCTTCTCTTCACTTCCTCTCCTCCCTTTCCCCATCGTTGCCTTTCCCTCATCTTCTCCTTCTCTCCTCTCCCCTCATTACCTTTCCCCTTTCTCCGCCCCTCCCATTCTCTCCCTCTCATCATTTTCCCTTTCTCCACCCCTCACCCCTCTCTCCTTCTTCCTCCTTCTCCCTTCTCCACCCCCTCCCCTTTCCCTTCCTCTCCCTTCTCCACCCCCTCCCTCTTTCCCTCCTCCTCATTACTCTCCCCTTCTCCACCCCCTCTCTCTCCCTCTCCTCCTCCCCTCCTTCCCCTTCTCCCTCCTCCCCCCCTTCCCTCCTCCTCCCCCTTCTCCCTCCTCCCCCTTCCCTCTCCTCCTCTACTCCTCTTTGTCCCCGCACTCCCTCCTCTCCCTCCGCACGGTACCCTCGCCGCGACAATCTGCTTCTTTCCGTCCGTTCCCATTGAGAGATTTCCTTCTCTTCGACGGGCGCGTGAAAGGAGGACGAGGCATTCATCAGCATGGCGGGATGCCCCTTCAAGTTTCGGATTTTTTTTTTTTTTTTTTTTTTTTGCGGGGTGGGTGGGGGGTGGAGGGGGGTCCAGTGTGAGGATGGAGGGTGGGGTGTGTGTGGAGGGGTGGGGGGGGACCAGTGTGGGGGTGGAGGGTGGGGTGTGTGTGGAGGGTGGTGGGGGAACCAGTGTGTGTGTGGGGGTGGAGGGGGGCGCTTCTTTCTTTTTTTCTAATTTTGGGGACCAGTGGTGGGGTGGAGGGGGGGGGGCGCTTTCTTTCTTTTTCTAATTTTTGTTTTTGTCCTTGTTTTTTTTTTTTTTTGTCTTTATCTCTCTTTGTCTGTCTGCTTGTCTCTCTATCTCTCTCTCTTTGTGTGTGGGGGGTAGAGGGGGTGGTAGGTGGTGGTGGGGGGGTTCTTTCTTTCTTTATCTCTTTCTCTCTGTTTCTCTTTGTTTCTTGTTCTGTTTTTTTCATGATCTTTTCTTCCTTTCTGTTTTTTTTCTTGTCCTGTTTATCCTCTTCTTATTTTTATATTTTCTTTTTCTCTTTTCTACCTGTCATTCCTTCTTTTCGTCCACTTTGCCTTTTCTTTGCTTTTCTCTCTATTCTCTTTCTGTCTTTCTCTCCTTTTTCTTATCCTCTGTGTGCATGCGTGCGTGCGTTTGTGTGTGTGTGTGTGTGTGTGTGTGTGTGTGTGTGTGTACGTGTGCGTGTGTGTGGTGTACGTGTGGTGTGTGTACGTGTACGTGTGTGTGTGTGTGTGTGTGTGTTGTGTGTGGTGTGTGTGTGTGTGTGTGTGTGTGTGTGTGTGTGTGTGTGTGTGTGTGTGTACGTGTGTGTGTACGTGTGTACGTGCGTGTGTGTGTGTTGTGTGTACGTGTGCGTGTGCATGTGCCTATGTATGCATACCCATGCTCACAATCCTACACCTGTCTACCACCGAATCTACCCCTGCGTATACGTACACGAGTTCACACATGTACGTACCACATACACCTCTGCGACTACACACTTACACGTGAAACTAACCTACTTTCCCCTACTCTAACCTACGATGCACATTAATAAGCGAAAGTGGGAGTGTCTCTGCAACAATATACTATTCGCAAGTACTCCCAGATTCTAAGGAACAGCGTTACAATATTCGTTAATGGGAATTTGGTCTAGGAGGGCGGTGCAGCCTTCAATCTGTTATCTAATTAAATTATGTTTATTCGGTATAAAAGAACGAAAGAAAGTAAATGAAGAAGGAAAAAAATACATGGGTGATTATGAAGAGATGATTGGAGTTAGAATGAATGATGGTAACAATTGATAAATAATTATCAACTTCATAATTACCAATATCGTTATTATCATCATTACTATTGCTATCATTATCACTATTATTACCAAGACATAATCATCGCTGTTGGTATTATCATATGCCTTCACCCTCCTCTTTAATAACAATTATCATCATTACTATTGCTATCATCACCATTATTACCAGCACCATCATTACAGTTTTTAGCATTATTATATCAATTCGACGAACTTGCAACCACAGTTACTTCGTTCACATCCACAAATCTCCAGCTGATGTGGATCCATTTTCCTTTTCACTCCACGGAGGAGAAACACTCATTCATTCACTCATCACAACTCGTCTTACGTCTTACATCATCATCATCATTATTACCAGCACCATCATTTCAGTTGTTAGCATTATTATATCAATTAGACGAACTTGCAGCCACAGTTACTTCGTTCACATCCACAAATCTCCAGCTGATGTGGATCCATTTTCCTTTTCACTCCACGGAGGAGAGACATTCATTCACTCATCACAACTCGTCTTACGTCTTAAATCATCATCATTATTATTACCAGCACCATCATTACAGTTGTTAGCATTAATATATTAATTAGACGAACGTGCAGCCAAAGTTACTTCGTTCACATCCACAAATCTCCAGCTGATGCGGATCCATTTTCCTTTTCACTCCACGGAGCAGAGACACTCATTCATTCACTCATCACAACTCGTCTTACGTCTTAAATCATCATCATCATCATTACCAGTACCATCATTTCAGTTGTTAGCATTATTATATCAATTAGACGAACTTGCAGCCACAGTTACTTCGTTCACATCCACAAATCTCCAGCTGATGTGGATCCATTTTCCTTTTCACTCCACGGAGGAGAAACACTCATTCATTCACTCATCCACAACTCGTCTTACGTCTTAAATCATCATCAATCATCATTACCAGTACCATCATTACAGTTGTTAGTATTAATATAACAATTAGACGAACTTGCAGCCACAGTTACTTCGTTCACATCCACAAATCTCCAGCTGATGTGGATCCATTTCCTTTTCACTCCACGAAGCAGAGACACTCATTCATTCACTCATCACAACTCGTCTTATGTCTTAAATCATCATCATTATTGTTACCGCACCATCATTTCAGTTGTTAGCATTATTATATTAATTAGACGAACTTGCAGCCACAGTTACTTCGTTCACATCCACTAGTCTCCAGCTGATGTGGATCCATTTTCCTTTTCACTCCACGGAGGAGAAACACTCATTCATT